TTATAGCTTTAGGAAGAGATAATTAATCAGGTATGTATGATATCAGAAACAGAATGCCCTGATTGGCTTCATAAGGTTGATTGCACTGGAGGTCACTGAGAACACTACTTTGTTAAGATTTTTAAAATTAGGGCAGTTACATTAGAACAGATAGAATGTTTTTTATTTTATTATTCTATAGGCATTGGGATAGATTGGGAACTTTACACACCCACCTCCAGATTTGTAACTCCCAAAACTCTACTGAGCATCTTAGGTACAGCGGTAAGATGTTCCTCTATCTTCTACTTGTCTTCAGTTTTACTTTTAACCTCAGATTCTACTCCCCTCTTTCCACCCATCCCCAGCCTCCAGAAGTCCCAATTCTGAGTCCTTGTATGAGCTAATGCAGAGTCCTTGGAGGCTGTGAAGGGGCCCGCATTGTGTTAGATCAGCAATGGTTTCCAAAGCTTCCTGATCAATGTTAAATATGTCACAAGCTGGAATTGCTCTAAGCAGCAGCTCTATTAGGGCTCTCCAGAGAAATAAAGTCAATAGGATGTGCGTGTGTGCCGGGGCACGCGTGTGCATGTCTCTCTTTCTTTCTATGTCTATCATCTACTGAGAGAGACTGAGATTGATTTGAAGGAATTGGTGCATGTGATTATAGAGGCTGGTCCCAAATCTGCAGGGCAGGCCAGCAGGCTGGAGATCCAGGGAAGAGTTGATGTGCAGTTTGAGTTTGAAGGCAGTCTGCTGGCAGAATTCCTTCTCACTTGGGAGAGGTCAGCCTTTTTTCCATTAAGATCTTCAACTGATTGGATGAGGCCCACCCACATTATGAAGGTAATCAGCTTTACTCCAAGTCCACTATATGTTAATCTCAGCTGAAAAGTATTTTCACAGAAACATCTAGAACAGTGTTTGACCACATATCTGGGTACTGTGGCCTAGTCAAGTTGACACAGAAAATTAACCATGTCAGAGGCTGTCCTCAAAATTAACCCTTTACCTTACAGGAATTCTTTAGCGGGTGGAGGACCCAGGGCAGTGCTCATGACTACGTTTCCTGTTCTCTGAATCTACTGGAGTGGATCTGGTGCACTCTGGCCTCACATATGCTCTCTAGAACCAGAAAGGAATAGATGAGACCCCACACAATGAAATGTGTTCTCTTCAACTTAGCAGGTAGCTTAGGAAATGCACAGGGCAGCCTTGGTAGAACCCTTGAGATTTAGTCAAGAGTAAGGCTGAATGGCACTCAGGAGGAATTGTAAGAAAATTTTAGATGTTTCAGTGATAGTCTTAGACTCCTTAACTGTAGAGAAGGCAGAAACAAGAAAACTAATTGTGATATTTTGAGTGTAATTCTTAAGAGAAATCATAGGCCTGGAGAGGAGCTGGAAAACATCCTGGCTAGACCCTGAGAACATATGCGGGGCTCAAGTCCCACTGACCAAGAGACAGACATTCTTGCACCTGAGTCCTGCCCAGGCCCTTGGGAACATACACTTGGCTAAAGACTCATTACTATCAAACCCCAAAACTTCTTCCTTTTGGCGCTGTAGTCTGACTTAGCCCTTCACTGTCTCTGAAGTCTTCTACTAAATCTGGCTGTCACCAATCTGGACTCCTGCATATGCCTGGCTTTCCTGACTTAGCACTAACTCATATTAATAATAAATGCTTCCATCTGAGCCCAAGATAAGAAAGAGGAAGCAGACGAAAATGGATTTGCATGTAGAGTTCCTCTATAGGAAGCTACTGACTTCAGAGGGTGCCTGTTAAAACGGACTTTCCCTGACAACGTATGTTCATTAGTTTGGTAAATTTGGTGACAATATTACATTGACAAGCTTTGCTATGGTGGTGAGGGTAGAGATGTGACACCCCAAGTCTAGAAGAAGTCTTGAGCGGGAATGGAGTTCTCTTGTGAACTTTGGGGACTGGAGAGAATTTCCCCTAGAACTTGTTCTGTGTGGGGTTTTGGGATACAATTTCACAGGCTTGATCCTTTGTCTGATTCCAAAGAGTGTATTCTTCCTGGCAAAATTAATTCTTCACTTTTCTTCTGAACTCCCAACAAAAGGCCTTTCATAATTTAATAAATAGGCAGTGAATTATGGCTACTGATGAATTGCAAGGCATAACCACCCCTCAGGGCTAATGGCTCAAGAGCATCTCTGGGGTGGAAATCAGGGAGGAAATGTGGTATTTGTAAAAAAGTGCTGGAATGGAAGTCAGGGAATTACGATTCTAAAAAAATCAAACATTAGCTGTCAGAATTTATGTTACTTATTTAAATTACTTGGGCTTCAGGGGTAATTCACAGAAAAGTCCTGTATGGAGGACATTAGACTTCTGGCATTTTCAGCTCTTACCTGCTATGCATGGTTCTCTGTATTTATTAAATTACTGAATTGGGAAATGAGAAGTTACTTGCATCATTTTTGACACTCAAGGTATAAATATCACCTGGCTTGTTCATGAATTACAGTGATGCTCATACAAGAAGTCATCTTTTTTGGAGATATGCTTATTTTGGAATTCATCAAAGATAACGGGGTGGTGAGGAAGGCCTACTAGGGTGTTTCTGCTTGGGGCCCCATGTTTAAACTTGTAACACTGATAATCCCTAAACTGTCTAATCTCTTTTCACTCTGTCTTTTTGACTGACGTTGTAATCATTAGCACAGACTTGGTCATAATTTAGAAAGGACAGTGAGATGTAATTATGCTTGAATAGCTAAGCTTTAACAAACATGAATGGTCTCTGCTGACCCTTTCTATGTCATTAAGATCCTGTCAAGGGAAGGACGGTTCACATATGCCAAAAGCACGAAAAGGCAAGAAAGGGCAAATCAAGAGGAGTAAGCCTCTCAAGCGGGAACATAGCTCAGCCACATGAAAACAAGACTCTTCTTCACGTGCGGTTCAGAAGAGGGATCTGAGAGGGAACGGGGACCCGCAACAGCACGAGAGACGATCATGACAGGCAAGTAGTGAGCCGAGGGAGAGAACAAACAGCAGAGACAAAATGAACTCTTGGTTGCATAATAATGAAAGAAAAGAGCTGATATTAATTTTTCTTCTTTTATTTCAAGAATGATACAATTTCACCTCATTGTTATAAGAATAGAAAAAGGTTAAGAGCCAGAGTAAGAAATGTTTCCTTTAGTAAGGAAGGTCATGATAAGCACAGGGGGTAAAAAAAAAGCCCTTGTTGTCTTTCAGCTAGCGGGGAGGGTGCTCCTGTGGGAGGCAAAAAGATTTGTTTTTCCAGACCAAGAGAGTTTATTCCTGTTTTTCAGAAAGTTTGACATTAGGAAATCTTTGAATGCTTTTTAATAAAATTATAGGCTAGAGGAGAAGAATGTGCATCTCAAAAAAAGAAAACAGTGAAAATGTATATAATATCCATTTCATAAGAGTAGACTGAAAGATACATTTGAATTCTCAACTGCAGTAAGCTGGACTTACTGCTTCCAATCACTTCAGAGATACGTGAGAACATACGATATTGCCAACTTTTCTCAGGCCATGTGGAAGATGCGAAAACAAAAAGTTGGTTTGTTCTCAGATCTGCAATCTCTCTAGGTGAAAAACATGCACAAGGTAACCCCAGTAAAAAGGAGTAGGTAAAGTGTCATCAGACTGGTTTTACAGCACTTGATACTTCCCTTATTATATAGTATTTCTTCCATTGCTTTGATATGACTTGTCCACTTGTCTATCTTCTTTATTAAATTGTGAACTAAAGTCAAGGGCTGTATTTTATTCTTCTCTGTAGCCTATGGACCCAGACTAGTGGGAAGCCTATAGGAGGGATTCAATAACTGTGTAATACATGAACAAATAAATGGAGGAATAAATGAAGAAAATGGCTATTTAATGGGTAGGGACATGTTTGGCTGGGGTGATTAGGCAAAGCAAAGTCATTTAAGTTGGGTAGTAAAGGATTTAAAGATGAAAGCATGACAAAAGGAATGTGGGCAGAAGGAGGTAGGAAATGGGCAAAAGAAATACAGAATTGAAAGAGCTCAGAAACCTATTTTTAATATAACCTCCCATTAAATGTGGGAAATTCATGAACATGACACTGATGGGTGGTTAAGTACCTCATAAAACACCCTATTCCTTAGCTAGTCTAATTTGGACAATGTAACCTAGAACTAATTTTGATTCACCTATAATTGAATTCATTTCAAAATATTGCACATAATATAAAATCACTTTGCTTTTTAGGAAGTTAATATTTTCTAAGACAGGTATTTTTTCCAGTATTTACTGATTATATAATTTAACAAAATTGAATACTCAGGTTTTGGTATGGGTCACACGACCTGTAAACTACACATAACATTAAAAAAAATTGTGGTAAAATATACACAATTTGTCACGTTAGTAATGTTTAAGTGCAGTGACATTGTTGTGCTACCGTCCATCCAGAGAACCCTTTATACACCTAGGAGTTTTAAAACTTAAAAATATAAAATATTACTGCATGTAAAAAAAAGTCAGACACATTTTTAACAAAGCTATTTACATTGTGATCATGTGACTAAATTCAGACTGGAACGTAAAATCAGTTTATTAACTAACTTTTGAGCTTGATAGTTAATGGTGATTGCACAAACCATGGATGTCAAAAATCAAAACCTAAGGTTAATAAAGAACCTGGCTGATTTTTCTCTTAAAAAGAAATAATTCAAAGTACTCTAAGTTCGATTTTACAAACCTAGAAAAGAGATTTCTGATAGTGTAAGAAACTAGATGCTCTCCTTTCCTTGGATAAATCCTATGGGAAATAAAACAGATGAGTGAAAGATATTAGCTTACTCCATGTCATCACAGTAGCATGTATTTCTTACCTGTGGGAGCCACCTTTGCCAGGAGAAATGGGTTTAGCTCATATGGTGGTTCTACTTTATGGGGCAAATTAAGAAGCAGTGGGATTTCCCAATCTCCTGCTAGGACTATGTTAATTGAAAAGCAATGCAAGGAAGAATCAGAACCCAGGGTTTCAAGATCCAAGTCCAGTTTTAATTCTAAGAGAAATACTTTTTTAAAACTACCATCTTCTATATCCCTACATAATGGCTTCTTCAGTTTCGACTCTCAATCATAACATTTCTTTTTCTCGAATGCTCCCCCCTGCAGTTGATTCGGCCTTGAAGCTACTTCTGGAGCAGGTGCTGAAGCTTGGGAAACAGTTTGAATGCATTCTGTGTTGTCACTTTTATAACTTCTTCCACTGAGATCCCTTTCACCTGGGCAATATATTCTGCTGAAATGGAAATGTTTCGGGGCTCATTCCGTACCTAAAACAGAATAAAGAAGACACTTATTCAAACATGACACTCAGGGGAGGCAATCCTTGAAGACTATAGATAAAACAGAAGAATGAGTTGGTAAAAACAACTGCTGAGCTTTTTTTCTTTTTAATGAGGCTGAGAGAAGCCCTGGACTTCAGCTTAAAAGCTATGGCTCAGTATTGACTATAAATCTATCTATGTTGCTCTTGAAGAGACCTAGGGTATTAACAGCTGAGGTCCCAGTGCTTAGCAGGTGAAGCAGTCTACAGATAGTGAACGCTTGAAGAACTGCCCGAGGGGTCTGTCCTTTAGTTTGTTGCTTAAGTGAGTGCTTAAAGGTCGCTTACACATCACTTAAAGGTCATAAAGGTCACTGTTCTGCCGCTTGGCCTCTTCAGCTCACAAGCTATATTAGTTTGATTCAAGAAATGCTATTGTGTGTCAGGAAGACTAAACAGATTAAGTACTGGCATTGCACTGATTCTAAGATGCATTTCCCCCCTATTTTAACATCTCTGAAATTGATAATATATTCTATTTACATTCAGTGTCATGTCTAGTATAACAGGCAGTGTTTTTTTTTCTTCCTTAATGGTCACAAAACAGTGGTGCATTTATAATCAGTAGCATTTAGATTTGATGAAATATTATTATCAAGTTTCTACTCAGGATGATAATGTTCAGAGGCATAAGATAACTGTTAAGGTTAAAAAAATAACCTTGATAATGTAGCAGAAGAAAACAATAAAAAATGTCCACCAGGATTTATGTTCAAGGATGTCCATCCTATTGTTTATAATACTGTGCTAGAAACAACCTAAATGACAATATCAAGTTAAAAATATATTATGGTACCTTACAGGGTGAAAGCAAGCTCGGCAACTCTGCCTTCATATTGTATCTGTCTCCTTTGCTGCCTTAATCTTTGTGTTGAACAGCTTCTGCTCAGCCCTGCAGCCATGCATGTAGGCTTGTTAATCATCAAAAGGAATTTTGCTTACTGTTTGAGATTTCTGCAAGTAGTCCCTTACCCAAAGCTTGTGTCCCCCAAGGAGATAGGCCAATATGCATGAAAATACTGAGTGACTGCCCTGTCAAAGATAGAGAGGAACTTTGTGACCAGACCCAGGTCAACGAGAGTCAACTAATCAAGGACGTGGAGTTTCTCTGCTCTCCTTGGACCCTACCTGGCGCCCAACTGTCTGCAGCCATCTGTCTCTTCCTAACCTCTGTCTCCTCCTGCTCCCCCTTTCCTTAGCATGAGAAAAGCTTGAACTCAACCCTCAGTTATGATGGTGCTTTTGGACATTAGTCCGCCATCTTCTCGGGCTGCTGGCTCTCCAAAGAAGTCACTTTCTTACCCCAGCACCTGTCTCTTGACTTCCTGGAAAGTTGTGCAGCAAGTGGCATAAGCGAGGACTCTCAATTTGTTGAGGCAGCCAGGAGCTGCTGCTCGTGGCCAGTGGGCCCTGAGCGGAGATTCCTCAGGTAAGTCCTTAGCAGCTGCTGAGATAATTTGTTCTAGGGACTTCCCCTTTGGTCCCCCCAAAATGGCACCAACTGCCCCACGGCCTGGCCACTAGGGCAAGGAATAGACAAAAAACTCTGCAAGTTGCTGTATTTGACCTTTGACCTAAGGTAAGTTGCTCCAGTGTATACAACTGGAAACTCCCCTCCTCTCTGGGGCTTGAAAATAAGCCCATTTTGCATCTGATTGGGGTATCAGTGTTGGAGAGGTGAACAGTTGCTGGACTTCTGGCTGATTTGTTAATTGTTTTGTTTGCATTTATTTTCATTTGCATTCTCTGTATCTTTTTATGTACTTTCACTTACAAGAACGAGAAATGCTCTTTCTATCACCAAAGAAAGTCCATTAGAAGGCATTCTGAATAAGTGGTCAGATTACAGCTATGAATCGATGACTACGAAAGAGATGGTATTTTATTGTACCATCATATGGCCCCCAAACATACTGGGATCAGAGGAATGGTGGCCATTAACTGGCTCACTAAACCACTATACTATTTTACAATTAGAGTTGTTTTATGAGAAAGCAGGGAAAGATGACAAAAAGCTCTCATGTACAAGTGTTCATGATGCTGCACCAAGATGGGAAGACTTTTTTGCAGGAGGGAGAAAGGGGAACAGAAGAGGAGGGAATACTAGTCCAAACTTTGAATCTCCCCGCACTTGGCCAGCAGCTCCCTTGCCTTTGCCGCCCCCTCCCCCGCCTCCTTCCGTCCCAGTGCCACCATCAGTGCCACCAGCTCCTGCCCGCACACTTAAGGCAGGGGTGCAGGAAGTATCCACCAAAAGGCAGAAGTCTCACAGACAGTACAGAGGGAGGAAGATTCAGATGGTGAGTGAAAGGGCCCAGGGACTCCCCTGCATTTAAGACACCCAATTCAAATTTTCCCACAGGTAATTTGACAGTAGGGAACAAATTGTTTGACTTTTTAGTGGACACCTTTTCGAAATGGCTAGAAGCGTATCACACCTGAATGGAAAAGGCTTCTTAAATGGTTAAAGCTCTTCTTAAAAGCAATGGCTTTAAAATGCAAAAAACTGCTCTTGACATTGAGAGATTATGAGGGTTTTACTTTCCTTTGAAGTAATTGTTTTGTCAGAATAATTTCTTGTGCTTCATATTGTCTTAATCAGATCTTCCATTACTTAAGAAAACTGAATCTTCTTAATGCTAAAAGAGCGAAATTTTGTGAACTATGTAGTCTTCTGTATTCACCTTTGAAATGTTTTACTGTTACTTTGGTTAAAATGGATAACTAACTATTGTTTCATAATCAACTGTGATTCTATTTATAATTTCCAGAACTAATGAAAAAACTGGATGCAAGCAGGATAAGAATTGACAACATGAGACTGAATGAACTGAGGGAAATGACTAATTTTCATGCGTCTTGTTTAAAAACATTGTTGGTTCTCTAATGTTTGCTTTTCCAGATTTAAGGAAACTTTTTTTCTTAAGCCATCTATGTCTTACAGTTGTTTGGTAAATCATATCTCTTTAAACAGAATACGAAGCATTTATCTTTCCTTCTCTACCTGATCCCTCCAGAATTCAGAAACTCTCAGTGAGGATTTTTATATTTTAATGACAGTATAATTATTTGTATAAGTTCAATAAGAATCTGTTCTCTTTGTCACAGGATACAATTGGAAACTTTAGTTATGTCACCAGGGTTTTGACTGGAATGCCATATTTGAAAAAGAGATGTGCTAGATACGACCAGACAGTGTTAAGGAACTAAGGTTGACTTTATGGAGTCAATGAAGACTCATGGAAAAACAGGCCTGGTACCTTGCTTGTGGGTTCCCAGCAGCCTTACCAGGTGAGCAAAGAAGGTCAATGCCTGGCAAGCACAGAACATCAGGATATTCTGGGGACCTCAAGAAGAGAGGAATTCCCCCAAATGTTTAAGTATTTTAGACAAAAACCTTATAGCAAGTCCTTAGTTTGACTTCCCTGTCCTTGAGAGGCCTTTTAAAGTTCAATTTGAGATCCTTATGAAAAGTTCCAGCAAAGCAGATTTAAGACAGTATCACTATTCTTATTGCACTTACGAAAATAATCAGGCCAAATTTGCTGGACTTAATTTGGAAACAAATGGTTATCTTTGATAAAAATGAGGGTGATGTTAGAGAAAAGAAATGTTCCAGTAGCAAACAATTCTGAATATCGGATTCCAGTTCTGATTAACTGTGTTTGTGTTTGATAATAAGGCAATTGATACAGGAACTAAAATCATGATATATATATACAACAGCAGATTACAGAACCTAAAACAGGGACTTGGGAATTAAAAAAGAACAGTATAATTTTTCTCTCCTCTAATCCTAAAAACCAACCTCACCTCTCTACAGCAGGAAGCAACCAGAGTGGTTATCATCCCTGTTCCTCTCAAGATTGAGAGGAATTAAAGAACAGGGGAGAACTGTAACTAAGCAGGTACCCCCCACCTTAGTGAAGCCCTTGACTTCTCAGTCACAAAGAGAAGCCTGAGTCCCTTAATCGTGACCCAGGGTATGGAAATTATACTGGGTAGTTGGAGATTAAAGGAAATGGGAGCTCACACATTCACATCCTAGAATATTATACAGCTAATAAACATGATAAGGAAAAGTACATTTATTGACATATACAGGTAGGTGTTCACCACATAAAACAAGATATGAAATGATATAGTCAGGCTAATCCTATTTTTATGAAAACAAATATACATATATGGATATAAAAAAGTTGAAAGGGCATATTACTTCATTAATTCTCATTGCAACACTTTGAAGTAGTTTATTATTATTCTGCCACATTTTATAAATGAAGAAACAGTTCCAGAGAAATTAAGTTACTTGCACCAAGTCACACAGCTAGTGGATGACACAGACAGGATTTGAGTCCAGATCTTTCTGACTATAGACACTGAGTTTTTTATTGTTTTGGTCTGTCTCTCATTACATAAATCAGGACATGGCCAATATCAAATAATATCATATAGAGCACAGCAGCTATATTTACAAAAGACCTGAAGTTAAGCTAATATAACCTCTTGTAACCACACAGGTAGCCCCCTTTTGATGAAGCCCCTCAGACTTCTCATTAACAAAGAGAAGCCTGAGTCCCTCAATTAAGACCCAGAGTGTGGGAATTAGATGGAGCAATTAGAGATTAAAGAAAATGGCAGTTTTCAAACCAAACAAATACAAGCAAAATGCAAAGCAAACTAAACAAATACAAGACTGCTAGTTCCAGCTCAAGGATATAGAAAAACTCTTGACTCATGTATCCCTGAGATGTTTCACAGGAACTTAGACCCCCATTAAATGGGCCACCTCCTGACAACAAGCAGAGACCCCAGACTGTGTGCATGCAGAAGACTGATAGCTAAGATTCCTCAAACAATCCCATCACCACACCAATGACCAATCATAAGAATGTGCCCAAGCTGATCACACACCCTGCAACCCTTAATTTTGCCTTAAAAAACCCCTTCATGTAAGCTAATGGGGAGTTCAGGACCTTAAGCATTAGCTACCTGTTCTTCTTGCATGTTGCCCTGCAATAAACAATAACCTCCCTTCCCTACGTCCTGATGTCAATGTTTGGCTCTGCTGGGCGTCAGGTGAGCAGACCAGGTTGGCTTGGTTTGTAACACTTTCAATCCAGCATCAAAATAGGATTCACTGTACTTATACTGTACTGACAAATGAGAAACACAGCTAAACTGAAAATAGCTCAATGATAGTTATAATCTAAATAATGTAGAAATCAGAAAATCATTTTACCTGTTTTTCTGGTCCTAGTGCAGGTGAATCTGTTTCTAAGCAAATTGATGTTAAAGGCAACTGTTTCACAAGTTTCTGCTTCTTGGAGAAAAAAGAAAGCTGGTAAGTTTAAGATATGAGAAACAAAGATTTTCAAAAGAGCATTAAACCCACAGTCCAATGCATCCTTCTCTACGAGAACCTGAAATTCTTGCTTTAACATTCAGTTAGTAAATGTTCACTGTGTTCTCATCGTTCCACTAGTAACAGTTAGATTTAAACAGAAACAATCGCCCAAATTTTGCAAAGCCTCCAGGGACCCCAGGGGTAGAAACCAACAGCAAAAAGTGAGGTATACCCAGGAAGAAAGCTAAACATCTGATGACCACTGATAGAGCCAAGGACGGCATGCCTGTTGTTTCTCCACCACTACCATACTCAGTGTGTCTTTTCATCACTTACTCTAAGACACTCAAGGCTTTATGTTTACAAATTCAGTGTTCATATACATATTTAAAATTTTAGATTGGGTGGTATATAGTTTTATTTTCTTGTTTATGATTTTCTGTCTGGATTATAAGGGCGGCAATTAAGTCAATGGATTTTACAACAATAACATAATTTTCTTGCTGCCACTGTACTTTCAAAGTAAACAGGAAGGAGAAAAATGATACAGAGTGGAACATGATTAAAATATATTATTTTAAGATTAAAATTTCAAAAGCACAGAAATAGGTATGTTCATGCACTGTTGGTATGTAAAACTTAAACTGGTATAAACTTCCTTGAAGGAAATTTGACAACTTAACCAAACATTTAAAAGTGCATACGCTTTTCCTCAATGATTCTATTTATAGGCAATAACTGAACAAGTGGACATGTATTTGTGGATGTACAGAGGTATTCATTGAAGCACTGTTTATAACAGTGAAAAACTAGAAACAACCCAACCTTTACCTAAGGCAATGCTTAAAGTAATTATGTTTCCTCCACATTGTGAAATATTATGTAATCACTTTAAAGATGAGGTAGGTTCATATTTAGATATCCATGAAAGCTGACTCAAAACAAAAAAAAAAACGAATAAGGTATCTTATTTTATCTGAAGCAGTGTTAACAGTGATTGTCTCTGAGTGTTAGGATTTGGGATAACTTAAAATTTATTCTCTTCTGAAGTGTTTCAATTTTGTATAATGTACAAACCATTTTTAAAATTAGGAAAAAATAGCACTTTAATTTTGGAAAAGAACTAAGTAAGAAATAGCTGCACAAATGACAAAAGTAAGAAAAATAATCTTGGGTTATCAATTGACCTGATTGACATTTCTAGAATACTCCACCCAAAAATAGCAGAATATACATTCTTTTTAAGCATGTATGTTCCAGTCATCAAGATATTCCAAATCCTGGGCCATTAAACCTCAAAAAATTTAGAAGAATCAAACATATATCATACGATGTATGTTTGCTGAACACAATAGAATTAAAGTGGAGATCAGTAACAGAAAGATATCAGGAAAATTCCTAAATATTTGGAAATTAAACAACACACTTTAAAATTATTGATATGGTCAAAGAGAAAGTCACAGGTACATCAGAAAATATTTTGAACTAGAAAAAAGTAAAGTACAGCATATATCAAAATTTTTGGATTACAATTATAAGAAGTGGTTACAGCTAATGTAACTATATAGCATTAAGTGCTTATATTAGAAAAGAAAGGTTTCAAATAAATAACCTAAAGTTCTACCTTAAGAACCTAAAAAATGAAACTATTAAAAGGATAATACATCATGACTAAATAGAATTTATCCTAGGAATGCAAGGTTGGTTCAATGTTAGAAAATCAATCAATAATATGTAGATGCAGAAAAAACATACAACAAATAGAAAATGGAAATGAGGGTGATAGAAAATAAACATCCATTTTTGACCAAAAAACTCAGCAGACTAGAAATAAAAGGGACTGATATAAAGGCATCTATGAAAAACCTGCAGCTAATGTATACTAAATGGTAAAAGAATGAATGCTTTCCCCCAAAGATTAGGAAAAAGGCAAGGATGTCTCCTTTTACCACATCTCTTCAACATTTTACTGGTAGGTGTATCTAGTGAAATAAGGCAAGAAAAAGAATAAAGGATACAAATATTGGAAAGGCAAAAACAAAGTCTTTATTCATAAGGGACATTCTTGTCTACATAAAAAGTCCTGAAAAATCTACAAAATTCTACTAGAGCTTATGATGTAGCAAGGTTACTAGATATAAGTTTAATATATAAAAATCAATTACATTTCTATATACTAGCAATGAGTAACTGGTAACAAAAATTTTTAAACCATTATCACTTAAAACAGAATAAAAACTATGTGTCAGATATGTATGTCAAAAATTATAAAATACTGATGAGAGAAATCAAAGATTTAAATGAGATCTACTGGTGTCTTCCTGTCAATTATCATCAAATTAACCTACGGATTCAAAGCAATCCCAAATAAAACCTCAGCCAGCTTTTTCGGTAGCTTGATGAGGCTGATTCTAATATACATGGAAAAGTAAAGGACTTGAAATAGCCAAAATGATTTTGAAAATAAAGAATTAATTGGAGTACTCATTTCAAAACCTTCAGTTTTTGTTGCATTTAAAGCTAATGTAATCATGATGGTGTGATGATATTGGCATAAGGACAGACATTATAGATCAATGCAACAGAATCAAAAGATGAGCAACAGACCCAGATATATGGCCAATTTCCTTTTTAAGTGCCAAGCTAATTTAAGAGAGAAAGAATGGTCTTTTCAACAAATTACACTGGAACAGGATATCTATAGGCAAAAAATAAGTCTTACACAAAATAGATCACAGACCTATATGTGAAACTAAAATCTATAAATCTTCTAGAAAAAAATATAACAACAAAAAAAATGTGATCTTAGGACATGTAGATTTCTTAGATATGATACTAAAAGCATAAATCCTGAAAGATAAATACTGATTAACTGAAATTCATCAAAATTAAGAACTCTTGCTCTTTGAAAGACACTGTTAAGAAAATGAAAGACTAGAAAATATTTGCAAACACACAGCAGATAAAGAACTTGTATTCAGAATGTATAAAGAACGCTGCCAACTCAGTAATAATGAAAAAACCCAAATAAAAAGGTGCAAAATATTTGAATGGAATTTCATTAACAATGAGATACGGATGTATTGATGGTAAATAAGCACATGAAGAGACATGCTTTTAAAATATCAGTAGCCATTGAGGAAATGCAAATGAAAACTACAATGAGTGATGACTATATACACACATAGAATAGCTAAAAAAATGACAATACCAAGTGCTAGCAAGGATGGAGAACTAAAACTTAGACATACTGCTGGTAGGAATCCAAAATGGTATAGCCACTTTGGAAATCAGTTCAACAATTTGTTATTAAGGTAAACATACACCAACCTTATGACTTAGCAATACAACTTCTAGGTATTAATGCAAGATAAATAAAAACAGTAAACAAATATGTATGTGAATGTTTATAGCAGCTGTACCCAGCCTCAAACTGGAAACAAACCAAATGTTTATCAGCTGGTAAGTGGATAAACTGTGGAATATCAATATGTGTATTACCCAGCAATCAAAATGAATAGACTGATTATACGTGCAACAACATGGATGAATTCGAAAGCATTAAGTAAAAGGAGCCATATCAATAAACCTACAGAAATTATTTCATTTTTATGATATTCTAGAATAGGCAAAATATAGGGACAGAAATCAGCTCAGTGGGTACCAGGGACTGGGGGTAGAAGGAGAGATGTACTGAAAAGGTGCATGAAGCAATATTTTGGGGTGATGGCAATATTCATCTTGAATGTGGTGGTAGTTACATAATACTTTACATTTGTCAAAAACCAACAAAATTGTATATCTAAAAAGGCTGAATCACTATATAGGTATATTCCTCAATAAACCTGACTTTAAAAACTACAACCCAAAATAAACAGTAAAACAGATAGAAGATTACTATTGGAGATATTCAAAAAGATTGGCTGTACCTTAATTCTGCACTCTTTATTTACATTAAGTTTTGAAAAGTGGTAATTTACTGTATTTGATAGAATTTAAGCTGCCTTTGATGGTAACATACATCTCAATTTTGCAGACAATAAAATATGAAAAAACAAGTTTCTTAAAATTGGTGAAATATGGTAAATTACGTTAGTTTTTGTTGCATTTTTCATTGTTATGGTTCACATACCGTAACATTCACCCTTTAGAAGTCTGTAATGCAGTGGCTTTTAGTATATTCACAAGATTGTATGACCATCACCAGTATCTAATTCCAGAACATTTTCATTACTCTTGAAAAAAACCCTACCCATTATTAGCAGTCATTTCCCCCAACCATTAATCTACTTTCTGTCTCTATGGACTTGCCTGGTCTGGACATTTCATATAAATGGAATGGTATATGTGGTCTTTTGTGCCTGGCCACTTTTTTTAGCATAATGTTTTCAAGATTCATCCATGTTTTAGCATGAATTGGTACTTCATTCTTTTTTATGGCTGAGTAATAGTCCACTGTGTGGGTATACCACATTTTGTTATCCATTCATCAGCTCATAGACATCTGGATTGTTTCTGCCTTTTGGTATTATGAATAATACTGTCATAAACATTCATGTGTAAGTTTGTGAGTGGAGATATGTTTTCATTTACCTTGGGTATCTTACCTAGGAGTGGAACTGTGGGGTCATATGGTAACTATAGGTTTAATTTTTGGGGGATCTGTCAAACTGAATGGGTGTAAAGTGATACTTCATTGTGCTTTTAATTTGTATGTCATAATGGCTAATGATGTCAAGCATCTTTTTGCGTTCTTATTGGCCATCTCTATGTCTTCTTTGGAGAAATCTGTTTAAAACGTTTGTCTATTTTTAAATTGGATTAGTTTTCTTTCATTGTTGAGTTGGAGATTTATATATTCTGGAAACTAGACCTTTATCAGATATATGATTTTCAAGTATCTTTTCTTGTTCTGTGAGTTATCTTTTCACTTTCTTGATAGTATTCTTTGAAGCATAAAAATGAAAAAGAATTTTATTGTGGAAGTTTTAAATTTTGATGATGTCCAATTTATCTATTTTTCCTTTGGTTGCTTGTGCTGTCAGTGTCTTATGTAAGAAACCACTGCGTAATCCAAGGTCACAAAGATTTGGCTCTGCATTCTTCTAAAAGTTTTACAATAGTAGCTCTTCATTTATTTAGGTCTTTGATCCATTTTTGAGTTACTTTTCACGTAAGTGTGAGGTAGGGACCTATGATTAATTTTTGTAACGTAACTAGAATAATATCACAAGAATGTAATAAATGTTCATACTTTAAAGTGTATTCACAATGTGTAAAATGAGATTTAACAAAAAAATTTACCTGTCCACTTCTTATGACAGAAGGAGGAATTGAGAAGAAGTAGCCAGCTCTTACTCCTTCCAGGGCTACAGATGGCCGACCATCGAATGCATGCAGCAGCACTTTGTCAGCACCTCTCGGGGATTAAAGGTAGGCAGAATTCCATTTCATTTCCTTAACAAGAGTTTTCCCATTGCCCAAACTGAGTAACACAGATTATAAATTTCAAGAAAATGGTGGTCACTATGATATAAAGATGAGGTTCTATGACTTCTAAAGGGTGGATAAATGTACAGTGGTCAAACAGGATAAAATATAGTAAATTCTTAATATTCAGAATAAAATTGTTAAATGAAATTGAAATACAAAGTTTCAAACAATTATTTAAACTTCCTATACCACCAAAAGTTTTCCAAAGTTTGTGAATGATCAAATTATTGTTCCTAATAGGTTTTTAAGCAGTTAAATTGTCCTGAACAAGAATGCTAGTGGAAGAAGAAATGGGGAGCTCGATGACTCACAAATTCAATAGTTAGAGCTGGCTCACAAAATCACCTCCAGTTCTTAAAGGATGGCTGCTTAACCTAATTAAAAATCATGAGCTCAGTGATTACAGAAGGATTCAGTACTCATCACTGAGAAGTACAATGCTTTCTAGTAATAGACAATTACATTTACTTTACTTTTTGATACTGTTTTTTCAAATCGTAGGTATGACCATTAGAGAGTTACAATCTTAAGTGATTATGGAATCAATTAATACATCATGACTGATCAGCATGTGCTTAAATGTGTCTGCATATCTATATACACATACACTTATATATACTTATACGCACACATCGATATACTGCTTCTTAAACTTTTGTCAATTTTCTGTGTAATGTGTATACAGAGTCTCAAAATAAAGTCTTAGTACCAAAAAAAAGTTTATATGTGTGTATGTTAAGTCTCAACATAAAGCATATTTCTTATTGTGGATGGCACTTTAAAAAGCTTGAAAAGTAATGCTACAAAATATACTTTTATGTTAGCAACAACTGCTGAAGATGACAGTGCATTTTACGTATGATGGTCACAAACTGTATAATCCATTTTTTTGAAGCAGCCGGAAAACATACAAAAAAGTAACGCAATAAGGTCATCCTCCTTTGCTTTGTTTTTTCCTCTTATTAATCAGTTGGTTTCAGTGACTAAAAAATTGGAGCTGTTAATTTTTAAAGAATGTAAGTTACTTGATCCAGTATTTCATTTGCTTTATCCTGGCCTGATACATTCCCCATCACACTGAAAACCTCGTAAACAGTAGGCTGACTTGCAAAATCACCTCAGTTGATTTCTACCTCCTCCTTTGTTCCATCACCTTCACTTTAAGAAATCAACAACATGGTTTGTTTCCTATGTTCATTTCTATGAGAATATGGATTGGAATTGTCAAATTTAAACATTAGGTATATTTCTTTCAGGAACCTTACCTTGCTCATTCAAGAGGCTGATGGTGGGTCTTCCAGCTGAGCGTGAGTGAACATTTCTGTTTAACAACAAAAAAATTCCTTTTAAGTACTCAATCTGTATTATTTTTGTTCTCTTAAAGTAATTCAGAAGAAAAAAATGTAGAGTTCCATTTCAGGAGAATCATTATTTAATTTGCTCTATAGCCATTAATATAGAAATATGATTAATTAACCTACAAAGGCAAATTTAGTCTTTTGGCTAATTGGATCTGTCTGATTAGGACTTGTCTTTGCTCTTCCTTTTGTTCATCAGTGCCAGCAAATCTGGGGGAGAAATCAAGTCCAACCTGTAAGAGAAAAAAAATATAACAGAATTACATGTTTATGGTTTAATTAACCTTAACGTACATGCTACGGAACAGTACCGTCCAAGAGAAATATAATGGGAGCCATACATCCAAGCCAAGTATGTAACTTTATATTTTGTAGTGGCCACATTAAAATCACTAACAAGAAACAGGTGAAATTAACTTTATTAATATACCTTATTGAACTCAATGCATCTGAAACATTATCATTATTATTATTATTTTACAGTACTATTATTCAACACATAACCAATATAAGGAATTATTAAGACGTTTTACATTCTTTTGGGGCACAAAGACTTTGAAATCCTCTGGGTGTTTTGTACTTACAGCACATCTCAATTTGGATCAGTCATATCTTAAGTGCTCAACATGTGTGTGGTCACCACACTGCACAGTGTAGATCATAGTGACCAGTTCCCTTGATACTATTTTGGCATGCATTGCTATAGTCTATATTCTGAGTTTAAGTGCTATTCTTATCTTTTATCTTCAATTAGAAGTGGAATTTATTACCAAGTGATAAAAAATGTTTCACAACTGTAAATTAAGTAGAAAATGTTTTTGAATTACAAACTTTAGCCTATTTAAAGTGTGTTTGCATATGCCATTTTAACTAACCAGAGAGATGACCCTGTTTAAGCAAAAGGTAAAAAAAAAAAAGCAAAGTATATAGAAATGCTAATAAAGTAGTTTTCTTCTATTAACATAAGCCTATTGTGAAGCTTTCTATTGTTTCATCCCCAAGCTCTTTAACTTACTGAGAAAGTATTGACAAATTATTATTGAGCTGAATGGGGTAAACATAATTATCAAAGTCAGTTATAATCACCAATACTGAATTAAGGATTATTTTCATACATCATGAAAGTCTGGATTAGAAGTCATTTGATCAGCTAATAATGGGTGTTTACCTCTCCAACTGCCAACAGTTGATCCTTATAATTCTCAATAATGGGCAATGCTACATCCAAATCCTGGGAGAAAAAAAGAGATCTTGTTAGCATAGAAGAAAGGAACTGATACTTTATACTTATTATATGCCAAGCGCTCTGCTATACTTGGTCTTTTACATACAGTCAAAACCTTTAGGCAGCTGAGGAACCAGGAACAGTAATCCTTCCATAACGGGGGAACTGGCACTGAAATTTTGAGTAGAAACAACCCACATCCATTCAGGTTACAAGAACATGGCTTTTTATGAAGATTCCAACTTTACTTCCTTCTGCTGAGGAGGCATTTAAAGGGGCTGATTTGGGTGTCCTGGAGTAACTGAGCAAGGGAGAAGAAAGCCACCTGGTGGTCAGCTTTGTGAGGTTTTGGGATTGCGTTGCTATGTTCTCCTCCGAGGTACTAATGGCTTGTAAATTCACAGCAGTGATGAACCCATACACTCTTTGTACTACTTTCACTAATTTCTTTTGCCTTTAAAGTTCTGCTTAGCTTGTTTTTTTAAAAAAAAGATAAGGGAGAGCAAATTGAGGCCTTAGAAGTACATTCTAGTAGACTCAATGAAGAGGAATTAACACTGTCATGAGAGGAGTATATAACCCTAGGTATCAGAGGTGTCTGACAAAGCTGAATAGGTTACAGAGTATCAGGCAAAAGTCTTCCCCTATCAAACATCTAAACTATTCTGTGTCTCTGGGACCCTCGTAGGGACTGGAGAAGTTGGACTGATTATTCAGGAAAGGTATCACTTAGAAAGTCTCAGTCAGAAAGAAACTGTACATTTGGGTGAAGACCAGGTATAGGAAAAAACATGCTTCTTGGAATAGGTCTTATCTATGAGAAAACAAATTTATAGGGAGAATGTTTCAATTCCTCTTGAAATAATCTGGAAGTTTCTGGGAAGTCAAGGATAGTAAATAGAATTAATATAATTTAAATTACAAAGTTAGTATGTATAAATATATTTGTATGTGTGGTCTTACTGTTTTATTTTCATAGATGTAAAAACTTTACAAAGACATTCATATGTCTATTTCTGACTTCAGTTCTACTTCCACTTCCTCCACAAGTCTCAAGTTCCTTAACAGTTAATGGTACTATTATGGGGTTTTTAAAGGTTCTTTCCCTCTATCCTTTCATTGAAAATACTACTACTATATAATTATTCATGACTTATACATGAGGCAATTGAGACTTGGCAAAGTTAAGTGCCACACATCACTGAAGCCAGTGGCTAGGCCCCTCTGCCTTCAAAGCCCACGCTGTTTCCACTATGTTGCTGCAAGGAGAGAGAAAGAAGAAAGGAAAGAAGGACAAAAGGCAGATGGGAGGGAAGAGAGGAGATTTATTCTGAATGATTTTAAATAATTACAATAGAGTTTTTATTAAAGAATATGGTTAGTCTTTAGAACCTTTCAAATGTAACAGAAATGAGTGAAGTGAGCCAGGTAGGGATGGGGGCCATTTGGAGAGCACAGGCCCTGCTTGCAGGGGCCAGAGGATATGGTCAGTGGACTGTGATTCCCCATATTTACCATGGAGCCTAAATACTGCCTGGTAATAATATTTACTGAATAAATTAATTCAGGAATATGCTGAAAGATCTGTGTGACATTAGGCAATTTTCATTTTCTAAACCAAGGTAATTTAATGAATGCTCACTATGAACCTAGTCTTGCACCATATGAGGGGCTCAAAATTTAATCAATATGGGAAAACTAAATTACAGTATGTACTCACATGCACACTAGGAATAAAATAGGAATTAACTGCTTATCTCTGGCCTTCTCCAGAGGACTATTCTGAGATTTGGTGAGTTTGTATCTGCTTTGAGAATCTATAATTACCTAAAGATTGCTGGTACTTTAATAACTTACAAGTTAAATAGTTCTATAAGTTTTACATTAATGCCAAAAGCACGCCAAAATCCTACTTCTTTTGGCTTCACTGCTACCCCTCTGGTCCATCATTCTGCACTTACACTATTGCAAGGCTTCTAAATATCCTCTTTTTTGGCCTCTTCAAAATTCATTCCTCTCACCAGAGCCAAGACTGTTACAAGACATAAGTCATGTTTTGTTACTTCTCACTTTAAATCCTCCACTGATGTGGACAAAAATCCAACAGGGCTCTGTATGAGGGGATCCCTGCCCAGTCCCTCTGACCACATTAAACCCCTTCCCTCTAGCACATCAGCCCTCTTTCTCTTTCTTGGCCACATCAAGCTTCCTTACCCGAGGACCGCTGTGCTTGGTTGCGTCTTTTGCCACAGACAATCTGACCCCTCTCTTTGCAAGGCCAATTTCTTTGTAGCATTAAGGTTGTAGCTCAAATGCCCCTGCCTTTGAGCTACAACCTTCCTTGAGTACACAATCTAAAAGCCAGCATCCACAATCCTTATCATATAATCTTGTTTTACTGTCTTTAAAGCACTTAGTGCGACCTAGTTTTCCTGTTCATGTATCTAATTCTTGATTGTCTATCTGTCCCAATCTAGAACCTAGCTTTCTTGAGAGGGATTTTGCTCTGCAGTGCTCAAAGCGGTGCTTGGAATGCAGTAGGTGCTCAGTAAACACTTGTTGACTAACTACATGAATGCGTATTAGTATCAATCTCTACATAAATGAAAGAAATGCTGTCCTGCTATGATCTCCAGTATTGTGGGAATCGTAAGCCTCTGGCAACTGAGCTAATTTTATCATATCAACAACTCAGAAGAGTTACAATACATTTTTATTTTTACATGAAATGAGTTAAAAGTAATTTTGTTTCAAAATAAATAGAGCTATCTGGGATATTCTAGCGTGGGAATGGAGAGTCATTATAAAAAAGATAGACTTCATATCTTAATTTATTCATAGGTTACAAAAAGTCTTTACTTCTTCAAAATGGGGCTATCAATCCCATTATATAATAAAATGTCCAAGAAACTGTGCATGTCCCTGATGCAGAGTCAGGAGACAAGTCTGAAAAATGTGAAACATTGACTATTGGGAGTCAGTGAACTCATACGGGTAGGATTTTTTCAGAGAAAGTATAAAAGCAGTGCAGCTTAATATATGAACAGCACTCCTGAAGGAGGGGTCAGTGTTCAAAGCTACTGTGTAGTTGAACTCCTCTGCTCCCTTATAGTACCACATCTGAACTTGTATCTTCCTTTTCCTGGATACTTTATCACTTTTTGCCAAAGCAATATGACTAAACATGACAAAAAATGTAAAAATAAGTCACCTATAATTCTACTAGATCATCACAGCTACTATCATTTCTCTGTTTTTCTCTCTAGACTTTTCCTTAAAGAATATATTTTTACATGGATCTCACTCACAGTGAATAAACCATTTGGTATTTTGCTTTTTTCCTTATACTATAAACATTTTCCTTATTACTACATAAACCTTATAATCCCCATTTTCCATAAATGCACATTATATTTAACACTCTACATGTTAACTAATTATTCCTTTGTTTCTGAACCTTTAGGCTGTTTCTACTTTTTCTCTATTATAAATAATGTTGCAACAAACATCTTTGTGAAAGTAAGTAGTAGTTCTTACTTTTGGATTATTGCCTTAGAATATAAATCAGAAAGAGGATTACTGAGTCTAAAGGTATTGTCATTTCTTTAGGATTCTTGTTTTATAGGACTATTACTTTTAATGTGACACTTCTTTGGCCTTCTGGAGAAACTCCTTGAACTGGATGAACACCCAAGCATGGCATGACCAACCCATTATACCTAAAAATGTAGAACAAATTAACAAATTAATTACAGCAGGAATATTAGAATAGCAAACAAGGTTACGCTAAAGAACAAGTAGAAATAACTTTTTAAGGCTATGTGGATACGATTTTTTCCTTCTCATTCTTTTTAAGAATGGCTATCTTTGGTATTATAAATATGACATAATAATTGCATCCTTATTAGCAACTCTCTAAATTCTTAATAAGTAGTACCTTTCTGAAAGCTCCATTATCTTTCCAAATTCTCCTGAATGTTCAGCAACCACCACAAGAGCCATAACATTGGCCTGAAACAAAAAGGAGTGGAGTAGTTAAGAGTTCCAAACAACAAGCATCTAATATAAGTAAGTAAAAAATGTAGTCTGTGCTTTTAGTTATCCTTGCTCACCACACTCCATCAATATAATCACAATGACTATCACTGAGCATTTACTATGTTTTAGGCACTGTGATCAGTGAATATAAATATCACTTCAATTAATCTACACAACCCTATGAAGTAATTGCTGTTAACCCACTGTACAGATCAGGAGACAGAGTTTTCGATGGAGTCAAGTCACTTGACCCAAATCCGTAGGCTGTGTAACTCTGAAGCCCACGCTCCTAATTAAGTTGCCATGCTGAATGGTGGCTGTACACACAAATGTTCTGGCAACCTACACTTTCTATCACTTTAAGGAAAGAAAGACCACAAAATGCTAGTTACAATGAATTTCATAAACACTTCCAGACATTAATAACTCTTTCTCAAACAAATCAAAATATTTCAGAAAGTCTGGTAATTTCTCCAAGATCTCCATCATAATACTAGGATCTGAAAGATGGACCAATCTGTTCCATAGTGCTGTAAGCACGGTAGCTACAGGAACATGTTTTGGATTCACACTACTCTGTCTGTATCACTTTAGTAGAGGTGTGTCTTTGGACAAGTTAATCTCTTAGGACTTAGGTTCCTCATCTATAAAATGGGAAATGCTTGATTCTAAAATACTAGCTTCCTCAGAAGATTGCTGTGGAACTTTAAATGAGATAATGTACAGACAGGACTTAGCTCAATGCCTGGCACACAATAAACAATAAATGCTATTTATTATTACTGAAGCACCATGAACATAGTATATCTAAATTTCAAGCTGGAAATTGATAGGAAATAGAAAAACAAAAAAAGGGGGCATTATACATATTGACTTACTTTCTGGGCTTTTTCCAACACATCATCCAAATCCTAAAACAAGCATAAATAATCACAAATATTTTAGATGAATGAGTAACTGCCCTTTAGCTGTGTATATCAGTGTAGTAGAGGTACCATAAAGAATGCAGATGGCAAGAACAGCGTGGTAGAATGTGAAGAGCCTACACAGACACACCTTCAGTGTACTCTTTTTTTTCTAAGTAAAATCTGGCTTCTGTTACCACTCCACTAAAATAGTAACTGTCATTGTCATATATAAAGGATACTTCTGTCTTCTTACTCTAGTCCTCAGCCACATTAGGAACTCCTCACTTGTCCACTCCTTCCTTCCTGAAATAGTTTCCAGGCTTGGCTTCTGCAGCAGCACTCTCTTAATTGGTGCTCTCTCCTCTGTCTGATTTCAGCCCTCTATGCTCCTCTCTCTCTGTTCCCACCTTAAGTGATCTCATCTACAAGTTTAAACATCATTATTGTGCCAACAATCCCCAATTTTTATCTCCAGCCTGTAATTTTCTCCTGAATCCAAAATTCACATTTAAAATATGACATCACTACATGGATGAATTTTAGGTTTCTACATGTGCTAAACACAGCTCTTTATTTTCTCCCCAACAGACCTATTCCTTCTGCCTGCCCTCCTGAACCTCAATCTTTCCTCAGCTCAGTAAACAGCACCACCATCATCCCTACAGCACCAAGTCCTGTCTTTCCCTCCCTCTCCACATCCCATTCCTCAGCATGTATTATGATTTTAAAATACACCTTCATCTACTCTCAAACGCCCCTGCAACCACCATCATCTCGTCTACATACTGCGAAGCCTCCAAACTGGTCATCTAACTTCCACTCCCTTCCCCCTCTATTTGCCACACATCAGCAAAATGGTTTTTAAATGGGTATCAGATTTCATCACTCTCCTTAAAAAAATAAAAATCCTTTACTGTATCCACATTATGCTTCTAATGAAATCCAAACTCCTTACTGTCCTACCTCACCAGTCCCCTTCAGTCTTATTAAATGCTCTTCAGTTCATCAGCCTCCACCCAGGCTTTCAGTAGCATGAATGTGCCAAATTCTATCCTGTCTGGGGCTCTACAACAGACCTGTTTTTCCTACCACCGTACACCCACCTCCTTGCTTGGATTCCTGTCGTCCCAGCCCTGACTAAAGTGCCACCTCTCCAGAGGTTTTATCCCCTAAAATAGCCTCCGTTCTTCCTTCTCTATTTTCGGCCTCTAGTTTCCAATGTAGCGGGTTAAACACTTTGTAACTCTGGTTTTGCTTGTCCCCCCATTAGAACTGGAGCACGGGGTGTTTCAGGGACCAAGTCATGGGGAAAGTGGACTGTCAGCCAGGAGCTGAGAAGCCAGTGGGATAAAGAGCCAGGCCAAGAGGACATAGGGAGGAAGGACTCCAGTAACCAGGAACAGCAAGTAAAAGCATTTGGAAACAGAGGGCTTATCACTAATCAAGATCGGGAATAAAAATCGGTATGACGGGTTAAATTGGGAGTCAGGAGCAAGTCACGGGAGGCCATGATTAGGAGCCCGGGAGGATCTGGGGCGTCGTCCTTAGGGAGGAAAGCAAAGATAACATGAAGGGAAAGGACGGGGTCCTCCCCTCTCCCCGGGCCGGCCTCGCCCCCACATACGCCGTCAAAGTCCGGGGCGGAGAGGTGGCAGTGACAGTCCACCATCCCTCCGCCCTCCGTCCCCATCGTCGCAACCACTGTAGCCCTCCGGTCTCCGCTGAGTCTCAGCCGGAACCCTGCGGCTGCGCGGGGCGAGTTTCCGGCCGGACGCGGGCTCCTTACCCCCGTGGGAACCCGCCCTTCCGCTCCCAGAGTTCCCGCCCACAGTTCAAACTGAGAAAATGGCGGCAGCTCCGGAGCTGGTGGCCCTTTCCCCGCCGCGGGCCGTGGGAAGAGTAGCCGGGACTGACGTCCGGGCCTCGGTCTCCGGCCCCACCCAAGAGGCCGTCCGGGTGCCCTGCACCTCGAAGCGGGCCGTGACGGACATGCTGGAGCTGTGCGGCGGCTTCGTGCAAAATCTCGGGGACGCGCTGCCAGAGGAGATTCGGGAGCTCGCGCCGCGAGGTGCGCATGGGTACGAGCCCAGTCGCCGTCTTTCTCGCCCGCTTACCGCACACCCAGGTGTCAAGGCTCAGGAGGGCAGGGTTAGCGGTGGCCCAAGCTCCCGTAGAAATAGCCCGAGAACGAAGTGGGTACTAGTGTCAGCTGGGTATTAATTACTTAGACTAGGGTTGTCCGGAAACAGAAAAGGCGAGCTCCGTATGTTAACTTGAAATTAAAATAAAAGAGAAACGGTGGAATTAGCTTTAATAATATTTTACTTAACCCACTGTATCTAAAATACCGTTCTAGCTTGTAATAATAAAAAAATGAGTGAGGTATTTTACGTTCTTTTGTTTTAAGCTTTACAAATCTGGTGTGTCAAGCTAACAGCTCACTGCCTTTCGGACTAGTCTTACTTTATTTAAGACCAAAATAGTCACAAAGTGGCTAGTGGCTCCCCTATTGCAGACAGAGTCTGAGGAATTCTCCATTAGAGGGTAATTCTGGAAGTCTGTCAAGAGTAGTCTTTTGGTTTTTCCTCTTGCCTGTTTTACAACATCTTGTAAAGAGATAGAAAACATTTTTCCTACGTCTAAAGTAGATAAGCTGTCTTGATTATAATCTCCGCTAAGATCACACAGTGGCCTTCATAATGCATTTCTCCTTTTCTGAAATATTTTGCAAAGCTTTGAAAAAGATGGTTTTCTGGGGAAAAACAACAAATTGAGGGGTTTGGTGCCTGTCAAGAGAGTATACAATCTGTATGTAGGAAAAGTTTAGAAGCTTATAATGCAGCACGGTTGTGACTGAATCATCACAATGCAAATAATAAAGGTTAAGTGGAAGACGAATGAAGAAACATTCCCTGGGTTATGATTCTATATTCCAAATTTGTATACGTTGTTTTTTTTCTTTTTATTGTATACGTTGGTTTTTATTCTTTCCTTGCGAGCAGGGGAAGAACAGAGACATATTTCAGGAGACTCTTGGTAGTTTTTGGAAGAAGATTGTTTAGTTGTGTAATGATCTTAGAATCTGTACTTTTTTAGAAAGTGTTTAGTTAGAACTTTTAATTACCTTACAGAAAAAAAGGAACTTCGCTTAACCTATTGTACCTTATTTAATGGATGATAAAGTGAATTAGAAGATAAAGGTTTGAAGACTTAAACTGCCAAGGGAATTCACTTGCTTTGTTGTAAATAAGAAAGCAGATAAAAGGCAGAGGCTTTAATTATACCGACATAGTTCTTTATCTAAAATCGTGCAATATAGTAACATTCTAAAAAAATTGGTATGACTGCAATAATATACCACAATAATAGCAGCCATCATCTGTCACCAAAGTTATTTCAATAGTATTCTTTATTATATATTTTTTTATTGAAGTATGGTTAATATTAATTGGTTTCAGATGTACAACACAGTAATTGACAGTTATATACATTACTAAATGTTCACCATGGTGAGTGCAGTTACTGTCATCATACAAAGATATATTGACTATGTTCCATATGCTGTATTTTTTTAAATACAGTCTTATATTAGTTTCAAGTATACAACACAGTGGTTCAACAGTTATCCGTATTATTAAGTCCTTACCCCAACTAGTAAAGTTAGTATCTGTCAACATAGGAAGATGTTACAGAATCATTGGCTATATGCTCCATGTTGTACTATTATCCCCATGACCAACCTGCATTATGATTGAGGATTTTTATTGTGCTTTATCCCCCCTTCCCCATAGTAACCACCAGTCCATTCTCTGTCTGTGAGTCTATTCTTATGGTGTACTTTTTTTTTTATTATATTCTTTTTTTTTATTAAGCTATGATTAATATACACTCTTATGAAGGTTTCACATGAAAAAACAGTGTGGTTACTATACTTACCTATATTACCTTATCAAGTCCCCACCCATACCCCAATGCAGTCACTGTCCATCAGTGAAGCAAGATACAACAGATCCACTATGTGCCTTCTCTGTGCTACACTGTCTCCCCGTGATCCCCAACACCATGTGTACTAAACATAATACCCCTCAATCCCCTTCTCCCTCCCTCCCCACCCACCCTCCCATACTCCTCCCCTTTGGTAACCTCTAGTCCCTTCTTGGAGTCTGTGAGTCGGCTTCTATTTTGTTGCTTCAGTTTGCTTCGTTGTTATACTCCACAAATGAGGGAAATCATTTGGCATTTGTCTTTCTCCACCTGGCTTATTTCACTGAGCGTAATTCCTCCAGCTCCATCCATGTTGTTGCAAATGGTAGGATTTGTTTTCTTCTTATGGCTGAATAATAGTCCATTGTGTATATGTACCACATCTTCTTTATCCATTCATCTACTGATGGACACTTAGGTTGCTTCCATGTCTTGGCTATTGTAAAAAGTGCTGCGATAAACATAGGGCGTGCATATGTCTTTTTGAATCTGAGAAGTTGTATTATTTGGGTAAATTCCAAGGGGTGGGATACCTGGGTCAAATCGTATTTCTATTTTTAGTTTTTTGAGGAACCTCCATACTGCTTTCCGCAATGTTTGATCTAATTTACATTCCCACCAGCAGTGTAGCAGGGTTCCCCTTTCTCCACATCCTCGCCAACATTTGTTGTTGTTTGCCTTTTGGGTGGTGGCCATCCTAACTGGTATGAAGTGATACCTCATTGCGGTTTTAATTTGCATTTCTCTGATGATTAGCGATGTGAAGCATCTTTTCATGTGCTTGTTAGCCATCTGAATTTCTTCTTTGAAGAAGTATCTGTTCAGATCCTCTGCCCATTTTTTCATTGGGTCATTTGCTTTTTGGTTGTTGCACATGAGCTCTTTTTTTGGATATCAACCCCTTATCGGATGTGTCATTTATGAATATATTCTCCCATACTGTAGGATGCCTTTTTGTTCTACTGGTGGTGTCCTTTGCTGTACAGAGGCTTTTTAGTTTGATATAGCCCCACTTGGTCATTTTTGCTTTTGTTTCCCTTGCCCGGGGAAATATGTTCATGAAAAAGTTGCTTGTGTTTATATTCAAGAGAGTTTTGCCTATGTTTTCTTCTAACAGTTTTATGGTTTCATGACATACATTCAGGTCTTTGATCCATTTCGAGTTTACTTTTGTGTGTGGGGTTAGACAGTGATCCAGTTTCATTCTCTTACATGTAGCTGTCCAGTTTTGCCAACACCAGTTGTTGAAGAGACTGTCATTCCCCATTGTATGTCCATGGCTCTTTTATCATATATTAATTGACCATATATGGTTGGGTTTATATCTGGATTCTCTATTCTGGTCCACTGGTCTGTGGGTCTGTTCTTGTGCCAGTACCAAATTGTCTTGATTACTGTGGCTTTGTAGTAGAGCTTGAAGTTGGGGAGCATAATCCCCCTTGCTTTATTCTTCCTTCTCAAGATTGCTTTGGTTATTCGGGGTCTTTTGTGGTTCCTTGTGAATTTTAGAACGATTTGTTCCAGTTTGTTGAAGAATGCTATTGGTATTTTCATAGGGATTGCCTTGAATCTATATTTTACTTTAGGCAAGATGACCATTTTGACAATATTTTTCCTACCCAAGAGCATGGGATGAATTTCCATTTATTAGTGTCCTCTTTAATTTCTCTTAAGAGTGTCTTGTAGTTTTCAGGGTATAGGTCTTTCACTTCCTTGGTTAGGCTTATTCCTAGGTATTTTATTCTTTTTGATGCAATTGTGAATGGAATTGTTTTCCTAATTTCTCTTTCTGCTAGTTCATTGTTAGTGTATAGGAATGCCACAGATTTCTGTGTGTTATTTTTGTATCCTGCAACTTTGCTGAATTCAGATATTCTAGTAGTTTTGGAATGGATTCTTTAGGGTTTTTTATGTACAATATCATGTCATCTGCAAACAGTGACAGTTTAACTTATTTCTTAGCCATCTGGATGCCTTCTATTTCTTTGTGTTGTCTGATTGCCATGGCTAGGACCTCCAGAACTATGTTGCATAAAAGTGGGGAGAGTGGGCATCCTTATCTTGTTCCTGATCTTAAAAGAAAAGCTTTCAGCATCTCCCTGTTAAGTATGATGTTGGCTGTGGGTTTGTCATATATGGTCTTTATTATGTTGAGGTACTTGCCCTCTATACCCATTGTGTTGAGAGTTTTTATCATGAGTCTACTGCTATTTTGTTCATTTTGTTTTATTTTGTTTTTATATTCCACAAATAAGTGAAATCATATGGTATTTATCTTTCTCTGCCTGGCTTATTACATTTAGCATAATACGCCCTACATCCATCCATGTTGTTGCAAATAGCAGGATCTATTTTTTATGGCTGTGTAATATTCCATCATGTATATGTACCACATCTTCCCAACCATTTTTTATCTAATGGATTTACACTTCATTTCAAGGCCCAGTTCAAATGTTGCTTTCACTTTAAAGTCTTAAATTGCCCAGGCAGTTAGTGTTTCATCATTCTGTGTCCATTATTTCTTTCATATCTTTGCTGTACTTATCAAATTACTGCAGTTTTCTGTCTGTTTCTTCCAGTGAACCTTGACCTCTAGGAGAGCAGGCATCATGTTATATTCATCTTCGTCTTCCTCTCATTTAGGCCTGAATTCCCATAGGCGTTCAGTAATTGGTTGTTACATTAGTAAATGAATCAGTTACCAAAGTGGGGACAATTATCTTGCTGTAATTTTCCTTAATTATTTTATGTTTTCTAAATTTAGTTTACTTACATTTCCATCTAGAATATAAACAGTGTGTTTTATGGACTTTTTTGCTTTTTCTCCCTTGAAATAGATTCAGATATCAAAGTACTTGAAGATCAGTTTGATGAAACCATAGTAGATTTGGCCACAAAACATACGCAGTATCCCAGAAAGATTCTTGAATGTGTCATCAAAATAATAAAAGCAAAACAAGAAATTCTGGTAAGATGATTTACCTTTCTTAAAAATAGTAAATTTTATGTGTTTATTTTACTGCAATAAAAAAATTGTAAGATTCATGTGGAGCTAAATGACATTTTGGTTTTTTATCTTTCCTGCTTCAGTTACTACTGTTGGTCTCTTGTAAGATTTTTTCCTGTTCTAAGTCACACTCAGTTTTGAATACAGCTGTTATTAAAGTAGAATTTGAAGATGATAGAATGATAGTGACTTTATAATTCTGAAACCAGAAAGGAAAAAGAAATTTACTTTTAAGCCTTTTCTTACTATTTGTTATTTGTATTTGTCACACTGGTATTTGTTGATATATTTTGGAAAACCCTCTAGTTAAATTGATGACACAGATCAACTACCTGTTCATAACAACTAAGTTTGCTTTGTGAATTGTGTGTAATTTGTTTTGCTTCAGAAATCATGATGGGGCAGGAGTAGGTTTGCTTGGAGTGACATTGCCTATGGAGTGAGAAACCATGTTGCTTTAGATGATGCTGTGTTGTTTGTCCTTAGTTTTTATTAGCACACTCCCACATATAAATTCTTCAGGTTCTTTCCTTTCAATTATTGTTTTAGGCAGTAAAGGTGGGTATTTATTTTTATTTTTATTTTATTTTATTTTTTTATTTTAATTTTTTATTTTGTTATCATTAATCTACAGTTACATGAAGAACATTATGTTTTCTAGGCTCCCCCCTTCACCAAATCCCCCTGACAAACCCCATTACAGTCACTGTCCATCAGTGTAGTAAGATGCTGTAGAATCACTACTTGTCTTCTCTGTGTTGTACAGCCTTCCCCGTGCCCCCCTGCAAAATAGACATGCTAATCGTAGTGCCCCCTTTCTTCCACCATCCCCTTATCCCATCCTTCCCACCCATCCTCCGCAGTCCCTTTCCCTTTGGTAACTGTTAGTCCATTCTTGGGTTCTGTGAGTCTGTTGCTGTTTTGTTCCTTCAGTTTTCCGTTGTTCTTAGACTCCACATATGAGGGAAATCATTTGGTACTTACTTGTCTTTCTCCGCCTGGCTTATTTCACTGAGCATAATACCCTCTAGCTCCATCCATGTTGTTGCAAATGGTAGGATTTGTTTTCTTCTTATGGCTGAATAATATTCCATTGTGTATATGTACCACATCTTCTTTATCCATTCATCTACTGATGGACACTTAGGTCGCTTCCATTTCTTGGCTATTGTAAATAGTGCTGCGATAAACAAAGGGGTGCATCTGTCTTTTTAAAACTGGGCTGCTGCATTCTTAGGGTAAGTTCCTAGGAGTGGAATTCCTGGGTCAAATGGTATTTCTATTTTGAGCTTTTTGAGGAACCTCCAAACTGCTTTCCACAATGGTTGAACTAATTTACATTCCCACCAGCAGTGTAGCAGGGTTCCCCTTTCTCCGCAACCTCGACAACATTTGTTGTTGTTTGTCTTTTGGATGGTGGCGATCCTTACTGGTGTGAGGTGATATCTCATTGTGGTTTTAATTTGCATTTATCTGATGACTAGCCATGTGGAGCATCTTTTCATGTGTCTGTTGGCCATCTGAATTTATTGGAGAAGTGTCTGTTCATATCCTCCACCCATTTTTTAATAGGGTTATTTGCTTTTTAGGTGTTAAGGCGTGTGAGTTCTTTATATATTTTGGATGTTAACCCCTTGTCAGATATGTCATTTACAGATATATTCTTCCCTACTGTAGGATGCCTTTTTGTTCTGCTGGTAGTTGATAGTGTCCTTTGCTGTACAGAAGCTTTTTAGCATCATGTAGTCCCATTTGTTCATTTTTTATTTTGTTTCCCTTGCCCGAGGAGATGCGTTCATGAAAAAGTTGCTCATGTTTATATTTAAGAGATTTTTGCCTATGTTTTCTTCTAAGAGTTTTATGGTTTCATTACTTACATTCAGGTCTTTGATCCATTTTGACTTTACTTTTGTGTATGGGTTTAGACAATAATCCAGTTTCATTCTCCAAAGATAGCTTTTTAAAAAACGTTTTGGCTTTTGCAAGTTTTGGGCAAGAGTAAGGAGCATCATTTTCCTATTTCTTTTTTGCCTGAATTCTGGATCCTGTTCCTATAGTTCTGCTGCTTACTATAGTCCTGGTGCTTACAGTGTATTACAGGGTATGTAGGCTTTAGAGTACTGACATGATAGTGGCCTAGCCACTTTCCAAATCAGAGTTTCTGTGGGAATATGAGTTCTGAGTTCCAAACACTTGTCTTAAAATGAACTTCTGAAAAACATTCCATTCATAATTTGGAGACTGTACTTTATAAACAGAAAATTCAGTCTGTTTTTTAATTTGCTTTCCTACAGATTTTTATGGTGCTATTTCTTAGTGTACGCAGTAGGTGGCAGTACTATAAAAGCTATAATCGGAGTTAGTTTGATCTTTTCTCCTTTCGTTTCCCTTCATATTTTAGTATCTGTGTGTGTTGTTTCAAAAAAGTAGTACTACTGACTAATAGTGTATTTGCTTATATTGATTGAAGGAAATGTTCATATGAGTCATTAAGTGGTTAAATCTCTTTTAATTTTAATTTTGTTTAGAAGCAGTACCATCCTGTTGTATATCCACTGGACCTAAAATATGACCCTGATCCAGGTGAGACAGTATTCATTTGTGGTAAAAATGAAGCATCAGCTTATAATTTTTATGAGTTTTTTATATTCTTTTAAAGGTGTCACACTGAGGTTCTTCCCTTTGATGCTCTAACTCACTACCAGACATCTGTATTTAGCTCTTCATTTAGGATTATGAGAATTAACTGTAAACCTACTGGCCCAGACCTAAACCTGCTACTACAGTAGTGGGACCCAGGAATCTGGACTTCTATAAAGCTGTCTCCTGACCTAGACTGTTGTAATACTTTCCCAATATCTCACTCCTGTTTTTAGCACTCCCATCTCTAACTGTTATTATACTATCCATTCTTTGCAGTATAGCCAACATTCTACTATTTAAGCACTCATGGTGTCACTCCTAGTGCAATAACCTTTATTGTTTCTCATGCTTTACAAAATCTAATAAAAATACAATGTTGAACTTAAGAGATATGCATGTTTGTTATGCCTTTTTTTTTATTAAGGTATCACTGATAAACACTCTTATGAAGGTTTCACATGAAAACCATTATGGTTACTACATTCCCCATATTATCAAGTCCCCCCCAATACCCCATTGCAATCACTGTCCATCAGTGTAGTAAGATGCCACAGAAAAACTACTTGTCTTCTCTGTGCTACACTGTCTTCCCCATGACGTCCCCCCATACCATGTGTACCAACATGATACCCCTCAATCCCCTTCTCCCTCCCTCCCCACCTGCCCTTCCCCACCCCCTTTTCTTTGGTAACCCCGAGTCCCTTCTTGGAGTCTGTGTGTCTGAAGCTGTTTTGTTCCTTCAGTTTTGCTTCGTTGTTATACTCACAAATGAGGGAAATCATTTCTTACTTGTCTTTCTCTGCCTGGCTTATTTCACTGAGCATAATACCCTCTAGTTCCATCCATGTTGTTGCAAATGGTAGGATTTGTTTTCTTCTCATGGCTGAATAGTATTCCATTGTGTACGTATACCACATCTTTATCCATTCATCTACTGATGGACACAGGTTGCTTCCATATCTTGGCTGTTGTAAATAGTGCAGCAGAAAACATAGGGGTCCATTTGTATTTTTGAATCTGATATCTTGCTTTCTTTGGGTAAATTCCTAGGAGCAGAATTCCCAGGTCAAATGGTATTTCTATTTTTAGTTTTTTGAGGAACCTCCATATTGCTTTCCACAATGGTTGAACTAGCTTACATTCCCACCAGCGGTGTAGGTGGGTTCACCTTCTCTGCATCCTCTCCAGCTTTTGTTGTTCTAAGTCTTTTTGATGCTGGCTATCCTAACTGGCGAGAGGTGATATCTCATTGTGGTTTTAATCTGCATTTCGCTGATGATTAGTAATGTGGAGCATCTTTTCATGTGTCTGTTGGCCATCTGAATTTCTTCTTTGGAGAACTGTCTCTTCATATCCCCTGCCAATTTGTTAATCAGGTTATTTGCTTTTTGGGTGTTGAGGCATATAAGTTCTTCATATATTTTGGATGTTAACCCCTTGTCAGATCTGTCATTTATGAATATATTCTCCCATACTGTAGGATGCTTTTTTGTTCTGTTGATGGTGTCCTTTGCCATAGAGAAAATTTTTAGTTTGATGTAGTCCCATGATTTCATTTTTGCTTCTGTTTCCCTTGCTCAAGGAGAAGCATTCAGGAAGAAGTTGCTTATGTTTATATTCAGGAGATGTTTGCCTATGTTGTCTTTTAAGAGTTTTATGATTTCACGGCTTACATTCAAGTCTTTAATACATTTCGAGTTTACTTTTGTGTATGGGGTTAAACAGTAATCCAGTTTCATTCTCTTGCATGTAGCTGTCCCGTTTTGCCAACACTAGCTGTTGAAGAGGCTGTCATTTCCTCACTGTATGGCCATGGCTCCTTTATCATACATTAATTGACCATACATGATTGGGTTTATTTATATCAGGGCTCTCTAGTCTGTTCCATTGGTTTTTGGGTCTGTTCTTGTGCCAGTATCAAATTGTCTTGATTACTGTAGCTTTGTAGTAGAGCATGAAGTCAGGGAGCATAATCCCCCCACCTTTATTCTTCCTTCTCAGGATTGCTTTGGCTATTCGAGGTCTTTTGTGGTTCCATATGAATTTTAGAACGATTTTTCTCTAGTTCGTTGAAGAATGCTATTGGTATTTTGATAGGAATTGCATTAAATCTGTAGATTGCTTTAGTCAGGATGGCCAGTTTGACAATATTAATTCTTCCTATCCATAAGCACCAGATGTGTTTCCATTTATTGGTATCTTCTTTAATTTCTCTCCTGACTGTCTTGTAGTTTTCAGAGTGTAGGTCTTTCACTTCCTTGGTTAGGTTTATTCCTAGGTATTTTATTCTTATTGATGCCATTGTGAATGGAATTGTTTTCCTGATTTCTCTCTCTGCTAGTTCATTGTTAGTGTATAGGAATGCCACAGATTTCTGTGTATTAATTTTGTATCCTGCAACTTTGCTGAATTTGGATATTAGATCTAGTAGTTTTGGAGTGGATTCTTTAGGGTTTTTTATGTACAATATCTTCTTATCTGCAAACAGGGACGACAGTTTGACTTCTTCCTTACCAATCTGGGTGCCTTTTATTTCTTTGTGTTCTGACCTCCAGAACTATGTTAAAAAGAAGTGGGGAAAGTGGGCATCCTTTTCTTGTTCACGATCTTAAAGGAAAAGCTTCCAGCTTCTCCCTGTTAAGTATGATGTTGACTGTGGGTTTGTTATATGTGGCCTTTATTATGTTGAGGTACTTGCCCTCTATACCCATTTTGTTGAGAGTTTTTAACATGAATGGATGTTGAGTTTTGTCAAATGCTTTTTCCGCATCTATGGAGATGATCATGTGGTTTTTGTCCTTTTTGTTGATGTGGTAGATGACGTTGATGGATTTTCGAATATTGTACCATCCTTACATCCCTGGAATAGTCTTACTTGATCATGATGGATGATCTTTTTGATGTATTTTTGAATTCAGTTTCCTAATATTTTGTTGAGTATTTTTGCATCTATGTTCATCAGGGATATTAGTCTGTAATTTTTTTTTGTGGTGTCTTTGCCTGGTTTTAGTATTAGAGTTATGTTGGCCTCATAGAATGAGTTTGGAACTATTCCCTCTTCTTCTACTCTTTGGAAAACTTTAAGGAGGGGGTGGGTATTAGGTCTTCACTGAATGTTAGATAAAATTCAGTGGTGAAACCATCTGGTCAAGGGATTTTGTTCTTAGGTAGTTTTTTGATTACCAGTTCAATTTCGTTGCTGGTAATTGGTCTGTTCAGATTTTGTGTTTCTTCCTTGGTCAGCCTTGGAAGGTTGTATTTTTCTAGAAAATGTCCATTTTTTCTAGGTTATCCAGTTTCTTACAATATAATTTTTCATAGTATTCTCTCATAATTCTTTGTATTTCTGTGGTGTCTGTAGTGATTTTTCCATTCTCATTTCTGATTCTGTTTATGTGTTTAAACTCTCTTTTTTTCTTGGTAAGTCTGGCTAGGGTTTTATCTATTTTGTTTATTTTCTTGAAGAACCAGCTCTTGCTTTCATTGATTCTTCCTATTGTTTTATTTTTTCTTGATTTTATTTATTTCTCCTCTAATCTATATTTCCCTCCTTCTACTGACTTTGGGCCTCATTTGTTGTTCTTTTTCTAGTTTCGTTAATTGTCTGTTTAGACTGTTCATATGGGATTGTCCTTCTTTCCTGAGGTAGGCCTGTATTGCAATATACTTTCCTCTTAGCACTGCCTTCTCTGCATCCCACAGATTTTGGGGTGTTCAATTATTGTGTCATTTGTCTCCATATATTGCTTGATCTCTATCTTTATTTGGTCATTGATCCATTGGTTATTTAGGAGCATGTTGTGAAGCCTCCATGTATTTGTGGGATTATTTTGGGTTTTTTTGCATAATTTATTTCTAGTTGCATACCTTTGTGGTCTGAGATGCTGGTTGGTACAATTTCAATCTTTTTGAATTTACTGAGGCTCTTTTGTAGCCTAGTATATGATCTATTCTTGAAAATGTTCCATGTGCTCTTAAGAAGAATGTATTGTGCTGCTTTTGTGTGTAGAGTTCTACAGATGTCTGTTAGGTCCATCTATTCTAAAGTGTTGTTCAGTACCTCTGTCTCCTTACTTATTTTCTCTGTGGTTGATCTAACCTTTGGAGTCAGTGGAGTGTTGAAGTTTCCTAGAATGAATGTATTGCATTCTATTTCCCATTTTAATTCTGTTGGTATTTGTTTCACATATGTAAGTGCTCCTGTGTTGGGTGCATAGGTATTTATAATGGTTATATCATCTTGTTGGATTTACCCCTTTATCATTATGTAATGTCTTTCTTTGTCTCTTTTGACTTTGTTTGCTTTGAAGTCTATTTTGTCTGATATAAGTACTGCACCTCCTGCTTTTTTCTCCCTGTTAGTTGCATGAAATATCTTTTTCCACCCCTTCACTTTTAGTCCTTGTATATCTTTGGGTTTAAAGTGAGCCTCTTGTAGGCAGCGTATAGATGGGTCTTGGTCTTGTATTTTTATCCATTCAGTGACTCTATGTATTTTGATTTGTGCATTCAGACCATTTACATTTAGGGGTATTATTGATAGGTATGTACTTATTGCCATTGCAGGCATTAGATACCTGGTTACCAAAGGTTCAAGGGTAATTCCCTTACTATCTAACAGTCTAATTTAACTCACTTCATGTGCTATTGCTAAAACATCCTAAAGGTTCTTTTTTTTCCCCTCCTTTCTTCCTCCTCCATTCTTTGTATGTTATGAATCATATTCTGTACTCTTTGTGTATCCCTTTGGTGACATCTATTTAGCTTTAGGAATACTTCCATCTACAGGAGTCCCTCCAAAATGCACTGTAGAGATGGTTTGTGGGAGGTAAATTCTCTCTATTTTTTCTTATCTGAAAATTGTTTAATCCCTCCTTCAAATTTAAGTGATAACCTTGCCTGGTAGAGTATCCTTGGTTCAAGTCCCTTTTGCTTCATTG